AGGAAAATACTGTTCTTCGGCTAAAGTCCCAAGTCGTCAACAGTGAGCACCATTAATAAGAGATAACTTACGATTTTTGTTCTGAAAATCAGCCAATCAGCGATGATCTCACCCCGGTAACCAAGCTTCTGAAAGTCAGCAAGTCAAGGACAGCCCCCAGCCTCTGCAAGCCAGCCAATCAGCGACAGCCCCTGCGAGACAACAGCCAATCAGCAAGTCCCTCACTCCGGAGCCCAAGCTTGAAAGTCAGCGAGTCAAAAGCAGCCTTGCTCTAGTGCTGCACTCCGCTGAGAGGCCCGAACGTTCCTGCGCACTTTCTCCTGTGAAAGCCCGCTAGCCGCTTGCACCGCGCTTCCCCACGCCTTAACGAAAACCAGCTCTGGCTGAGTAAGACTTAAAAGCACACGTCTCACTTTCAGGCAAACAAGAAGCTCATCTTTTTTTGCATCAGACATCAAGTTCAATTTAATGTTAGTTTGCAAATTTGCAGCCCTTTGAACATTTGGACCCCTGTTGATGGTTAGTTGTGAGGTCAGACTTGTGAATGCAGGTGCACTGTTGCAGCTGTGAGATCTTCAAATTCAATCTCTTTGACTCTCGCTGTACTTTCTATTATCTGTTCTTTGGCCAAGAACAGAATAAGTTGAATGTGACCACTGCAGAAATCATGTTAAAATGTAAATGGAACACAGACTGTAACTTCAGAGAATTTTATAAGCAAATTCTGCAAAACAAGGTACTATTAAGGAGAGCCAAATCACCAGGGAAATATAATGAAATAAATAGGTATGTAATTTAGATACTTATAATTTATTTCAGATAAACAACAAATCTGTTTTTAGAATAAGTATGTCTTGGGTGGCTCTATGGGTTAAGCGTCCAACTCTTGATTTTGGTTCAGGTCATGATCTTTGGGGTCATGAAACCCAGCCTCCCCCGCAACCAGGAGTCAGGCTCCTCGCTCAGCAGGGAGACTGCTTAGGATTTTCTGTCTCCCTCTTCTCCTCCCCCCACACCCCCCCCACTCTCTCTCTCAAATAAATAAGTATATCTTTAAAAAAAAGAAGAAGAAAAGAAGTGGGTTTTATGCAATTTTTTATCTCAAAGTATATACGTGGAGGCAATTAGGAATAATTCAAATTTAACTGGGTGTTCTGTGTTCTTATTTTTTTACCTTGGTGAACACCTCAGCCCCAGCCTCTGTGCCTCCATGATCACCCCTGCCTATAATGCCATCCTCCTCTTCTTCAACGACCAAATCCTAATTCTCTTTCGAGACCCATCTCAAAACAACTCCTTAGCGATGGCTAATTCTGCCAGGCATTATTCTAAGTGCCCTACATCTATTAAATCATGTATTCCTCCCTGAGGTAATCATTCTTCATTATAATAGTAAATACTATAAGGAAGATATTTTTCCTATTTTATGGATGAAGCAATTAGGGCACAGAGGAATTAAGTGACTTACCAGAAGTTACTCAATCAGGAAGTAGCAGATCTGGGATTCAAATCCAGACAGTGTAGCTCTGGAGTCCATTCCATGATAGGGTACCCACGTCTGTCCAATATGCTTGCCCTTGGAACCCAGCCACCATGTTGTGAGGAAGCCCAGGCCACAAGGAGAAGCCCTTAGGCAAGTGTTCCAGCCAACAGTCAGCATCAACCACCAGACATGTGAGTAAACGAGCCTCATGATTCCAGCTCCAGCCTTCTTACATTTAAGGCTCCATTCATCATCCCCACCGTACCCTGTCTGAATATCTAGCATATAGAAATCATGAGAGATCATAAAAAATAAATGTTTTTAAAGGATTTTTTAATTTTTTTTTAAGATTTTATTTATTTGAGAGAGAGAGAGAGAGATTGAGAGAACGAGTGGGAGGAGGGGCAGAGGGAGAAGCAGACTCCCTGAGGAGCAGGACTCAATCCCAGGACCCTGGGATCATGACCTGAGCTGAAGGCAGACGCTTAACCAACTGAGCTACTCAGGTGTCCTAAAGGATTTTTTTTAGAACATTTTTAGGTTCACAGCAAAATTGAGAGGAAGGTACAGAGAAGCCCATATGCCTCCCATGCCCACAGATGCACAGCCCCCCGCATTATCACCATCTCCCACCAGAGGGGGGCACATGTGTTATTATAAATATAACAAACACTTGTTATTTGTATGATGAACTTACACTGACACGTCATAATCAGCCAAAGCCCACCGTTTTCATCAGGGTTCATTCTCGTACATTCCCTGGGTTTAGACACATGTAGAGCGACACGTATCCACCCTGACAGCATCATACAGAACAGTTTCACTGCCCTAAAAATTCTCTGTGCTCCACTTATTCATCCCTTTCTCCTCCCTAACTGCTACTGTCTCTCTAATTTTGCCTTTCCAGAATGTTATATCGTTGGACTCTTACAGCAGACATAGCCTATTCAGATCAGCTTCTCTCGGTGACACACCCTTGAGTTTCCTTCCATGTCTTTTCATGGCTTCACAGCACATTTCTCTTTGGCTCTTATTGGACTTATTGTTTTTAGCCATTGAGTTTTGGGATCATCTATTATGCAGCAATAGATTACTAAGTATCCTTCCAGAATTTCCTCTAACTAGCCTCAGGGTAAAAAAAAAATTATTTATGTTTTCACTCATTCATTCACACAACTATTGAACTTAATGGGGTATACTTGGCTTCAGACATGGCTAGATCTAAGTGGATCAGATGATGTCATCAGGATTCTGTATCACTTTTCTCTTGGTTCTGCTTTTCTCACTGGCAGCTCTAAACTTTTCTGGATTTTGCAGCTCCCCACAATGTATCTCCCCAAAATACCAACATAAACCCCGAGAAAGACCTGAGTCATCCACCGTAACAATGAGTCACATTTTCAACTTTAGTCACAGAAAACTCTACTAACAGTGGCTTAACATTTAAACCATAGGATATTTATTATTTACTTAGAAGAAGTCCAGACGCAGGAGTCCCAGCACTGGTCAAGTATTAAGGACTTAATGTTCTTTCTATCCTTCACTCTGTCCTTATGCTTGTTGCCTCATGGTCATAAAACAGCTTTTCCAGCTCCAGGCATCACATCTGCCAGCAAGGCAGGAAGAAAAGGGAAGGAACAGACAGTTTGTTTTGCAAGCATGTCACTTTTCTCACAAAGCAGAGTATCTTCCCAGAGCCATCTTTTTACTTCACTGGCCAGAACTAGGTTACCTGGCCACATCCTGGCTGAGAAGCTGGGAGAGTAGCTAACTTTCTAGAGGCTACAGTGGGAAGCAGCAAAGGAGAAGGAAGGCTGTGAGTGGCTGTTGGGTTAGTATCTTCCGTGTCTGCCTAGTCGTGAATCAGTCATGGCCAGGGCCATGGAGCTCTCTAATTGATTAGGCCAGAGGGTAGGACCAGCTTCACAAAACCCACATGAACCCCAGGGCCCAAGCAGAATTTTCTGAGGTTTGGGGCAATGTGTTTACGCAAAGCAAGGGCAACGGAAGAGTACAAAAACATCCATCCACAGGACAGCTACAGAGTGTTCCACTGCAAGGATGAATCCACAACTCTTTGAATTAGCCCATTTTGGTTCTAAAACGAGAATGGAAGGACGGGTATGGGTAAGTTCAAACCCAGACATGCAGTGGGAGGATCATGAGGGGCAGGAGGTTAGGGTAGAGGGCATTGCAGGGTAGAGAGTAGGCTGTAGGGAGGCTGGGAGGACATGAGGGGTAATCATGGCTGGCCATGAATGCCAGGCTATGCTACTGTTCCATCCAGTACTCACAATAGATACCTGAGATCAGGATTACGTATCCCCATTCGGTCCCCATGTTTTAGAAGAGAAAATTCAGACCTGGAGAAGTTGAGTCATTTGCTTGAGTCACTCACTCAAGAACCAGGGATTGACTAAATCAGATCTTCCTGATTTGTCCCCTAGCTCTCTGATTCCAGAGCTGCCAGGCTTAAGAGAGACCTGGAACTGATTCCCTACAGAAAGCATAATGGGGGCGACAGGCCCAATTAAAGTCACATGAAGTCACTCTTCCTGGAACGATGGGAATGCAGCTGCTGGAGACCAGGCCCCGTTATCTGATGTGTTTGGAGATTGGGGTTGTGAAACAACTACAGTGCTCAAGCTGAGATGAGGTTTCTGACTGCATGGTCTTTCTGTGTGTGTGTGTTTTTTTTTGTTGTTGTTGTTGTTGTTTTAACAACTAAACCAACACTGAAGCCAAAGAACAAGTCCTTAGAATTGTAGAGGTATTAGCCCCACAGCCCCATCTCATCAGGGCCTCACCAGCCCAACACCACCTCTATCGAGCTGGGCTGGAGCTGCAGCTGGGCCCCAGGGCAGGGGTGAGCCCAATCATGGCACCTGTGGAATTACGGCCACCTAGCTCCCTGTGGACATCATGTGTGGTGTGTTCCCATTTCTGTAAAATGTAAAATATATTCAAGGAAAAAGATTTTGGAAATGTAGCCTAAACTCTCAGCAATGTTATCTTGGGGTGGGGAGCTGGGGAGACCAGGGACCTCCCTCTTTCTCTAATATAGACTGCTGTGAAGATTAAGATTAAAAAAAGAAAGAAAGAAAAATCTAATTATATTTAAAGCAAAAAAGCTGTAATATCTACGTAAAAAAAAAATGACACCTAAAAAAGTTAAATGGAAGACAGAGCCAGGCCCAATCCCTGAGGCTCTAAGGAAGCGATTTTGCTCTTCCTCCCCCCTTCCTCCCCCCAGCACTAAAAACCTGGCCCCAGCCCCCGCCCCCCGCCCCGGGCCTGGGCACTGCATTCCTCGGGGCCACCTGGAGCCCCCAAGTCTCCGGGCCGCACAAAACCGGCCTCCAAGCCTCGCCTCCCACAGCTCCTCCCGGAGCCGAGAGGAGAGGGGGGCTGGCCCCAGGCAGGGCAGAGTCCGCGGGCGGCCAGGGCCCCGCAGTGGGCCCCGCAGAGTCAGCCCCTCGGGCGGAGAGCGGCTCCGCGTGACCCGGGGCCACGTGACCCGCGCGGGGCGGGGCCGCCGGCGCAGTTGCTGCAGGCGCCGCGGGAGGTGTCCGAGTAAGTGGGGAGCGGGGCTGGCGGGGACCCTCCTCGCGGGTGGGCGTGGGCGGGGGTCCAGGCGCTGCCCCAGCCTCGGGTTCCCCAGGAGCCGGGAGCCCAGCGAGCTGCCGGGACCCCCCTTCCCGGTGCAGGGCCGGAGGGGCGATGGGATCGCGATCGGCGTCGGGCAAACACTCCCGTATCCTTCGACTGGCTGGCTGGGACCGCCATCCCCGCCTCCCACCCTGAGTGATCGCAGTGCGGGGCGATTACATTGACCCCTTGTGCTTTGGGGGAAACTGAGGGTCCACAAAGCAAGGCCGACGGGAGCACCCCTCTACAGGGGAACACACGTCTCCCGGCAAACTCCATGGCTCTCACCTGCTATAGTGGCCCATATGATCCCATGACCCCTCTGTTGAGGAAGAGGCCGTGGGTACAGACTATCCAGCGCGTGGGGGCAGAGAAGTGGGGAAAGGGGGCTGGGTCGAGCTACAAGATAACAGCCAGCATATTGAATAGTGTGTGGTTTACATGCCCTCATTTAATATTCACCATCGTGAAATTTGTCGGGTAGGTCCCCATTTTCACGTAAGAAGAAACCGGCTGGGAGAACTTGAGTCCTTTGACCAAGGTCCTGCGGTTGGTAAATGGAGGAACTGAGAGTAGAACCCCGGTCTGTCTCACAGCAGCGCCTCCTGGTGGGTGGTGGAGGCACTTGGCCCAGCCTATTAATTCCTCTGTGAACCGAAAGTTGGGGTCTTCCTCTTCCTTGCTCGGACACCCTGGGGAGAGGTTGTTGCTGGATGAGAAGGGCTTCTCCCCTCTCCCCAGCCACCTGCATCCCTTTCTCCCTGTCCCTTACCACTGATTCCTTTTGTCACCTGCCCCCTACAGGACAAGATGAAGCTCATCATCCTGGACCATTATTCTCAGGCCAGCGAGTGGGCAGCCAAGTACATCAGGAATCGCATCATCCAGTTTAACCCGGGGCCAGACAAGTACTTCACCCTGGGACTTCCCACTGGTGCGTTGGGGGATGGAGAGGGTGCCATGGATTGTGGGGGAGTGAGTGAGCATTAGGATTTTTAAGGGGCCAGGTACCTGAGCTCACTGAGCCAGGGGACTTACAAGGAGGGGTCTGGGGTGCTGGTGCTATGAGTGAACAGCCCTGCTTCCTGGAAACGCAAAACAAGAGGACCCAGCTGCCACTATGGTTTGGTTTAGGTCCTGCCTGCTCCTGAAGAGTTCTGGAGTAGAAGGGATCTCGGTTAGGCAGGAAGAACTTGATTTTTCAGCTCCATTCTAAGTCAGCCCTGACCACAACAGGCTGTCTCGGAGTCTCGGAGTCCGTAACAGAATTAAGTCCTAATGCTTTCAGGCATACATTTTATGTAATGAATTAACTTCTGTGCATCTCTCGAGTGCTACTAGCTGAGTACCATCCTTGGCAGAATTTATAGTCTACTCAAAGCATTTTCTGTAAGGTTTAATTAGACACAGGACCTACTTGAAAAACAGCCTCAGTTTCTTCTAGAAAAATCAGCTTATTGCCTTTATGGGAGGATATCTATTTTGACCCCAGCTCCTCAAGGCATATGGTCCTGATTCTTTCTCTCCGAGTTTGGGTGGATTTGCCCCAGTGTCCCATCCACTAGAGCAGGGGCCTTCAAACTTTTTCTGTAAATGGTCACATAGTTAATATTTTACACTTCCCTGGCCATAGGGAATGTTCCCTGTCGCAACATACTTAACTATCCATGTAGCTCAAAGTCCACTGCGGACACACATAAATGAATGCGCCTGGCCGTCTACTGATAGAGCCTGGTGGATGCTCAGGTCTGAACTCGTATAATTCTCGCATGTCACAAAGTCATACTCTTGATATTTATACACATAAAAAGTGTAAAAACCATTCTTAACTGATGAGCTGTATAAACACAGGCCACAGGCCAGATTTGGCCTGTGGGCTGAAGTTTGCGGGCCTCTGCACTAGACATTTGTGTGAGCATAGCTGCACGTATCTGCAAAACCACCAACGTCTCGGGCCCTGGAGGGGCTGCACTAACATCCTGTTTGCTAACCGTGGAGCTTCTCTAGGTCAGAGTCTCTGCTTCTGCTGACATCCCTCCCTGATGCCCCATCACCTGCACGATCAGGTCCCAGCTCCTCAGTGTGGCCTTCAGGGCCCTCCAAGACCTGGCCCCCTCCTGACTGCCATTCCTGAACGAGCACAGCATTTCCATTTGGGTTCCTTGGAACATGCCTTCTGTTAGGTGAAATGCCAGTCGGGGGTTCTGGGTGGAAACCAAAGAAACCAGCTCTGGCTAAGTTACGCAGAAAAGGATTGTATTGGCTAGATAACGGGGAGCTCACAGAATTGAAGGGAAAGCTCGAAGTCTGGAAAGGGGACATGACATGACGAAGCTCAGGGGAAGGCCAGGGAAGCTGTGGGGCTCAGGCACGGCTGAGGCCCTGGCACAGGAACAGACTGGTGATGGGTTGTGGGGAGCTTTGATTCAGCAGGTATTTAGTGAATGCCCACCATATGCCGAGCTCTTCTAGGTGCTGGGGATACGACGACAAACAAAAAAGACATAAACTCCTGCCTGAAGTTTAAATGGTAGTAGGAGAGACAGACAATAAGCAAGTTACTTGACAAAATAGAGTATGTTAGGTGGTGATGAGCGAAGGAGAAAAATGAGGCAGGGAAGGGGGGGATAGGAAATGTCTAGGCAGGGGAGGGGGCCCGCGGTGTCGGATGGGGTGGCAGGGAAGGTTCTTCCGAGAAGGCGACATCTGAGTAGAGGCCAAAAGAGGTGAGAGTTGTGCAGGAACCTGAAGGAGGAGCAGGTGAGAAGCGGGATGAGTACGGGTGAGGGTGGGAACCCGGGGCCGAGTTACAGGGAGCCTTTGTTAGGACTGGTTATGACTCAGTGAAATAAGAAGGCATTAGTAGGTTGTGAAAAGAGCGATCTGATTTGGGTGGGGCTTTTTTCTTTCCATCCTCTTATTTTAAAAAATTTCAAATATTCACAAAAGCTGAAGACTAGTACAGTACCATTCTCCTAGGCTCGCCCATTGTTAATATTTGCCACATTTACCCTTCATCTCTCCTGGCTCGTGTTCTCTGTCTACACACAAACACACACACACGTTTTTTTTTTTATGAGCCACTTGAAAGTAAGTCCCAAACCTCCTGACGATTGACCTCTATATCTTTTGGCATCTATCTCCTCAGAGTACAGACGTTCTCTTACCTAACTACAATACTGTTATCATACCTATTAAAAAAATCATTCCAGGGGCGCCTGGGTGGCTCAGATGGTTAAGCGTCTGCCTTCGGCTCAGGTCATGATCTCAGGGTCCTGGGATCGAGTCCCGCATCGGGTTCCCTGCTCAGCAGGAAGCCTGATTCTCCCTCTCCCTCTGCCACTTCCTCTGCTTGTGCTCTTCTGTCTATCTCTCTGTCAAATAAATAAATAAAATCTTTAAAAAAAAAAAAATCATTCCATAATACCGTCTGTTACGCAGACACTAGTAACGTTTTTTTTCTCATTGTCCACATTTACCTTTTATAGTTTTTTCCCCCCAATAATCCAGTATCCAGACTTCACGCATATTTAGTTCTTTAATCTACAGAGGTCCTCCTGCCTTTTTCATGGGCTCTATGACCTTGACTTTTTTTTTTTTTTTTAAAGATTTTATTTATTTGACAGAGAGAGCACAAGCAGAGGGAGAGGGAGAAGCAGGCTCCCCACTGAGCAGGGAGCCTGATGTGGGACTCGATCCCAGGACCCTGAGATCATGACCTGAGCCGAAGGCAGACGCTTAACGACTGAGCCACCCAGGCGTCCCTGACCTTGACTTTTTAATGAGACTCAATTCGCAGGAGTTTGCTGCTCCTCGGGGAAGTCTTCCTGAGCCCACAGACTTGGGCTGGTCACAGCTGACATCGCTGCTTCCTGTCCCAGTCCCAGCCAGTGAGCTCGTTCCGAGCGGCTGCATGTCTGGGCCTTCTCTGTGTCCCCATCATGTGGGGGACATACTAGTTGCTCACCGAACACATCAGGACGTTAGGTGTGATGTTTACTCGGTTACTGATTCCGGTCGTGCCAGTCAGTGGCGTGCTGACCACTGGGATTCGGCGGCGGACAAGACAAGACGCAGCCCTGGCCTCCTGGAGCTCACGCTCTGGTGGGGACGTAGCCTTCGGAAGCACTGACGGGATGGCGGTTAGGACTGGCGCACCGGGGGAGGGCTTCAGATCTGTTCTCCCTGGTTCTCCCTGTTGAGCAGCCCTCATCCCTGGGTGTCCTCAGGAGCTGGGAGCTGAAGGGTGTTCATGGCTGTGGCCTCTCTCACAGGGAGCACCCCAATTGGCTGCTACAAGAAGCTCATTGAGTACTGCAAGAATGGAGACCTGTCCTTCAGATACGTGAAGACCTTCAACATGGATGAGTATGTGGGTGAGTCTGTCTCTTTCCAGGTCTTCCCTGATTCCAGGAGAGTCCTGCTCCTCCCCATTCAGGCATAGCCCGGGAGGGGAATAGGGATGTCTCTGGGAACCAGTGAGGTTTGGTGATAAAGCTCCATTAGCGAAAGCTTTCTCTCCCAGGCCTTGGTGTACTCAGCTGTAAAACGGTGCTCTGAAAGCTGACCTCAGGTTGTAAGCATTAAGTGATCGAACAGATATGGAAGCCTCTTACACAGAGCAGCCATTTTAAATGTTAGAGTATCTCCTTCTCCTCTGCCTCCTCCCCAACTCCATGCCGTTTCTTTCTGTAACCAGTAATTGCAGATGGGCTCATCCCTCTGTGTCTGTGTCTGGTCTCTCCCTCCAGTGCTCATCCTCCAGCTCGCCTTTCTGCCAGGCACACTGGGAGAGGAGCAGAGACTGGTATCCCTTCCAGTGCTGAAAAGCTGTACCTTGGTCTTCTGTCACCCCCGCCTACCCCCACCCCCACCATCATTTTGTAAGGCTACACTTCAAACTTTCTTGTTTTCAGTTGTGGTAAAATAGACGTAAGATTTACCATCCAACCGTTTTTATATGTAGAGTTTAGCAGCGTTAAGGATATTCACAGTGTTGTGTAACCAATCTCCAGAACTCTTTTCATCTCGCAAAACTGAAACTCTCTACTCATTCAACACCAACTACCCATTGCCCGCTCTCCCAACCCCTAGCAATCATTGTTTTACTGCTTCTGTGAATTTCACTACTCTAGATACTTCATTTAAGTGGAATCAGAGAGTTATTTGTCTTTCTGTGACTGGCTTATTTCACTCAACAAAATGTCCTCAAGGTTAGTCCATGTTGTGGTATGTGTCAGGATTTCATTCCTTTTTAAGGCTGACATTAAACATTCTTCATGTTTAGTTACACATCCACTTGAAACTTTTTCTTCTTGGCCAAAAATCATTTTGCGGAAGCCCTGAGAGAATTCTCTCCAACCAGCTGGTGTTCAAGCTGGGGTTCAGGCTGAGAGGGGTATAACTGGGGGTGAATGGTGGGGTGGGAGGCACGGGCAAGGGGTATGCTTGCTTCCTGTCCCGGATGGGCCAAGCCCTACCCGCAGGTTGTAGGCCTCCTCCGGAAGGCCAGAGTGACCCTGGCCTCCCGCCTACAATTACTCCCTCGTGAAAAGGAGATGAGAATGAGGGATTTCTCAGGCTCCCAGGGTGCAGTCACTCTGGGCCAGTCCTGCCGTCACAGGTGGTGGTGGTGGGTGGACACGGGGATACCACCCCCGCGAGTCGTGGCTGATCGCGGCCTGGTGCCCAAGGCCCCCTGATGGGCGTTCCCCATCTGTGGAGGTCTGAGGGCATCCTGGCATCCGCCTTGGGAGGAGGGCTCTGGCTCAGCCTGGGCATGCCTGAGTGTCGCCATGGTCCCACAGGCCTTCCTCGAGACCACCCGGAGAGTTACCACTCCTTCATGTGGAACAACTTCTTCAAGCACATTGACATCCTCCCAGAAAACACCCACATTCTGGATGGGAATGCGCCTGACCTGCAGGCTGAGTGTGACGCCTTTGAAGCGAAGATCAAAGCCGCAGGGGGGATTGAGCTGTTCGTCGGAGGTGAGCTTGACACTGCGGCACGTGTCCAGGGCAGGCCCAGGGTGCTGAGAACACATGGAGGGGGGACAGGACGCGTGCCTGCCTCCCAACAGCTTCCTCACTGCACTGGTAATAGCAGGAACCATTTATTCCCCTGAGGAGGCAGGGAAGACATAGATAGGAGCCCTCACTCCCCGCCCTGGCTGTGCTGCTCAGTGACCGTGTGATCTTGGACATCTCCTCTCTCTGTGCTCCTGTGCCTTGTTGGTCAAGTGAGATGTTTGGATTTGGACTCGAAGATTCTGTTCCCTAGTCCTGAGGTTTTATATGGATCAGTCCATAGGACTTACCTAAACAGTTAAAATCAAAGACTCCTATGGTTCGAGAAGATTCTGCACTCAGCCCCTGCACACTATATAGATAGCCATACGAACCCCAGAGAAGTTTTGTGACTTGCCCCAGGTCAGCCGGGGCAGTGGCAAGAAAGCAGGAACCCAGGGTGTCCCCTTCTCAGTTTGTGCTCTGTCCCTACCCTGGGCTGCTCCCTTACGTTTCCATCTTTTGCCATCTCTGGAGCCACCCACAGGAGTGTTAAGCTTTTACTGCTCTAGACTTAACTCTTCTTTACTTCAAGGTAGGAGGAAGAGGCTAAGAGGACTCCTGTTCAAAGATTTTATAAACTTTGCAACCCACGTCCAGTCCGTTTTTTTATTTGCTGTGACTATCCCAGCGGCAGGACCCCTGACTACTGGCAGGAGAAGTTACCCTTCGATGCTCTAGGGAGGCAGAAGCTATTTGGAGTACTGCTTGCTTAGCTTTCTGAGGGTGGTCGCAAGGTGACCAGGTCGTGTGTGTGCCTCAAACAGAAATGGCTAGGAGGTGGGGAGAGGGGAGGATCTTACACTTAAAGTGCACCTGCCCGGGGTGAATGAGAAAAGAGCTGTGATTTCAAGGATTTTACACACCCCAGGTGGGGAAGGATAGGTTGTCCGTTCCTGAAATCTTGGATCCCTGGGACTGACAGGGCTGCCCTGGCTGTTTCTCCCGGGCAGGCATCGGCCCTGATGGACACATTGCCTTCAATGAGCCGGGCTCCAGTCTGGTGTCCAGGACCCGTGTGAAGACTCTGGCCATGGACACCATCCTGGCCAATGCTAGGTTCTTCGATGGTGATCTCACCAAGGTGCCCACCATGGCCCTGACGGTGGGTGTGGGCACTCTCATGGATGCTAGAGAGGTAAGGGCACATGGGCTCCCCAGGCCTTCCTTGGGGGGTTGGACTTGTCTTTCTGTCATTAACTATACAGGTACCACCGACAACACTTACTAAAAATGAAGGCATTATAAATACGGCTAGGGCGCCTGGGTGGCTCAGTCGGTTAAGCGACTGCCTTCGGCTCGGGTCATGATCCTGGAGTCCTGGGATCGAGTCCCGCATCGGGCTCCCTGCTCAGCGGGGAGTCTGC